CTCATGTTCAAGCAAGGACCAAAACAGTGAAGCGAACAGGAAAAGACGAGAAAGGAGACCTGCGGATCGGATCTGTCGCCTCTGGCGCGGCACACGATGGACACGAATGCCAATGCCATCGCGCTCCACTGGGAAGACCCATCTCCTAGCCTCCAAAAGGACTCTTGAGCCACCATAGCACACTAGGGATCCTTTGTTGCCACCGTCACCACCGTCGCAAGTCCAACGGTCATAGATTTGTTTCTACTTACAGGGGATAGGGATACATCCAATATATAAGTCAACATGTCCACACAGAGAACATATACTACTCCAAAGACATGTCAACACAACTAGGCGTCGAGCGCAATGATGAAGACGATCTATTTCTTGCTCTAGGTCCTGGGTTCGACTCCTAGGTCTCATGGATTTTTTTGAGTTTGAATTTACTAAACCTCGGCGACAACAAATGACACACAAGTTGTCGGGTCCCACAGGTCGGATGGAGATGGAGAAAGGTCCCACAGGTACACGTGACACGTAAGCCATCGGGTCCTAAATGTCGGATGGTCCCACAGGTACACGTGACAAGCAAACCATTTGGTCCCACAGGTCGGATGGAGATGGAGAAAGGTGTCGTCGGGTCCCACAAGTTGGATAGAAAATGGTCCACAAGCACAAGTGACACGTAAGCCATCGGGTCCCACAAGTCAAATGGAGATGGTGAAAGGCCCCACAGGTACACGTGACACGTAAGCCATCGGGTCCCACAGGCACACGTCGCATGGAGAAAGGATCGAGCAGACTTTTATGATGAATTGCAAGCGTCACGGATGAGTAAACTGTAGGTCCCACAGGTACATGTCGGATGGAGAAGGTACCATGTGGAGATCTATGACGAAGCACCGTCGTTACAGATCGAATATTGTTCATCACAGATGTGTAATTAGTTCAATGACGAAGCCCTGTTCATCATAGTTTTAAAGGAGATCGTCACAGATGAGTCGCGCGAGTGATCTGTGACGAAACCGTGCGCTCTTCTATGATGTTTTTGTGACGATGCCTGATTTCGCCAAAGAAAGAGAGGGTTGCAGGATCATCACCACTGATCTATGACGAAACAGAAATATTCGTCATAAAATACGCTCTTCTACAACGGTTTTAGATTCGTCATCGACATTTTCATCATAGAAGTGGATATTTCTAGCAGTGCCCCCATGTGGCCGCACCGCAGGCACCGGCCTTGCAGCGTCGAGCGCGCCGGCCTCAAGCGACGACGCCCTCCCGGCCTCCCTTTCCCTCTCTACTCTCTCTTTCTCGGCTGTGGGCCCTAGGCCGGCCCGACCTGCTAGCATGGCACGAATGGGCCGTCGGCCAGGCACGAAGCTCATGGAGGCACGGCACGGCCCGGCGACACGTTGGGCTCTGTCGTGTCAGGTCGGGCCGGCCCATTGCCCATCTATAGTTTCTAGTATATGTCCTAAGTGAAGTCAACCAATACTACACAACATGTTGTAGCGATGAGAAGGAAGTTGCAGCTAGAAAATGCTTCGCTTGACTAGATTTGGACGAGCATGTCTAGAAGCGTCCGTGTCATTTTATATTTCTACAGCCGACCACAGCCGAACTCAAGATCTTGGCCCTGTTCGCTTGGAGGAATTTGGAGGAATCTAGATGGTTTTGGATGAATCTAGAGGAATTTATGAGAGAAAAACACTGTTCCGAATGAAGCTGGATTTAAGAGCACGCGAATGGGCCCCTTGTCACTTTCCGTTCAAAACTTGAAGATCCATGCTTCCATTCTAGATAGGCTGTGTTTAGTTCACGAAATTTGGGAAGTTGGCTACTTACTGTAGCACTTTCATTTTTATTTGGCAATTAGTGTTTAATCATGGACTAATTAGGCTCAAAACGTTCGTCTCGTGATTTTCAACTAAACTGTGCAATTAGTTTTTTTCGTCTACATTTAATGCTCCATGCACGTATCGTAAGATTCGATTTAATGGCTACTGTAGCACTTTTTGAGAAAGTTTTTGAGAACTAAACACAGCCATGCCCACAACACACGTCAGCTCCGGCTGCGGCGCCCGCCGTCCGCACGCGTAGTAGTGATGAAACCGACGTATCGCAGTCCTTATCTTTCCCATCTCAACGTCCAAGTACGGCCCTATTTGCGTGTCCTTAAACTCCGGCTTGATCCGCTTATTTTTTTATCTGGAACAGTATTTTTTTTTCATAAATTTCTCCAGCATTCCTACAAACCATCTAGATTTCTCCAAAATCCAGACAAGCGAACATGCCCTACGTCCACCAACAACTGCTACAACTAAAAAAAAGCTCTATATCTTAGACTTTCTCCAATACATGCACCCAAACCCAAATTAAGTATCAGGAAATCTAAAATCAACCTCCAATGAAGTACCTATATGAAAGACTCATTTTATGTTGCTTGTGAGGCATAACCTAAATATGAGTATCCCTCTCTCCTGGAAACCTATTTACAGAAAGAATTCTCTTTTGAGTTCTGTTGTTGAGGAGGATGTCGAATGAGTATTGAATTCTTTGACTATAGTGCTACCTAAATATTAAACGAGTCTTGTATTTTGGATGTTATTGTTTGAGATACTCTTACAGTGACAGCATGCTGCAGTTGCAGTGCTTTTTGTCACGATTCGCGAACCGCTCTTACTAGCTGTAGACATCTCCAACGTGTCCCTTTTCTATTAGCACGTATGAGTACTCAACTTTGCCTTTTTTTTTTTAGGAAGTACTCAACTTTGCCTTGGCTAGGCCAAGCCATGTCCGCCAGCGTGAGAGTGACCTTTAACTTGCAAGGGGCCCTCCAACTGCTGAAGTTTGGTTTGGGAAAAAAAAAACAAAAGGCTGCTGGTCGATCACCAATCATGTAGCAATCACTTTATCCTTGAGTTGTGAGTACAGAATATTGTCACTAATATAGTAGCATTATAATACCTAAAATTTTCTGTGAGTGAACTGGACGCGATTTTTTTCCGAATAACGCGAAATATACTTGGATGACAAATATTTCTTACTGCATCAGTCTACCCACGGTTCTACATCTCTAAAAAATATCTAGATAGAGGTCTTATATGAGTATACCCAGCTACAGGGGGCGATTAGTCCAGTCACGGATCTCACATGGCGATTAGTCCAGTCACGGATCTCACATTCTCACGACTTCATGCAGCACAAAGGGCGGGCAGTCCCAATAAAAAAAAAAGTATAGGATACCATATCAAGAAACTATTGGAGTCTACATAAAAATTTGTCCAATCATTCACCTAGTTTCTCTCTCCCATCTTGGGATTCTCTGTGCATTTGGCTTAGCGTGTGTTTAGTTAGGTGAATTTGAGAATTTAGGTTATTGTAGCACTTTCGTTTTTATTTGGTAATTAATGTTCAATCATGAACTAATTAGACTCAAAACGTTTGTCTCGTAATTTTCAATTAAACTGTGCAATTAGTTTTTTTTTCGTCTATATTTAATGCTTCATGTATGTATCACAAGATTCGATAGCTACTATAGCACTGCGCTTACTCTTTCTTTCGTTTCTCTCTCGTCCTCTGCTGTCGGCGTCCAATCAGCGGACACTCCATCTCTGCCACGCGGGGAAAACTAGGGCCTTGTTTAGATCCTTCAAATTTCAAGTTTTTTCACGCCATTAATTTTTAGCCATTACTCTTTCTTTCGTTTCTCTCTCGTCCTCTGCTGTCGGCGTCCAATCAGCGGACGCTCCATCTCTGCCACGCGGGGAAAACTAGCTAGCAGCTCCATCACCTTGAAGGAATGTCCTCTGCTGCCGGCGTCCAAGCAGCGGACGAGCTCCATCTCTGCCACATGGGGACAACTAGCTAGCAGCTCCATCACCTGGAAGGAAATTGGCTGCTCATCATCCAAGGTGCACGGCCTTCCTCCTGCAGTCCTGCGTGTCCACGGTCGACGCGGCGTCCATGGCGTCGTGCAGCACCATCGGGAGGGCGCGCGCAGCAGCAGCAGGCCGGGACTGGAGCTCCACGGCAGCGCCTGTGCAGTCAAGACGACAGCGCTGGGCGGCCTCGCCGCGAGATGCGCGTGCGGCGGCGAGCCGGCGTGAGCATGCTCGGACCGGCGAGCCTCGTCCATGGCGTGAGCATGCGCGGACCGGCGAGCCGGCGAGCTCCATGGCGTCGTGCGGCACCATCGGGAGGGCGGCGCGGCGTCATCGCGCTGCGGCCGGAGCTCCACGGCGGCGCCTGCGCAGCAGTCAAGGCGGCGGCGCTGGGCGGCCTCGCGCGAGATCCGCGCCTTGTCCATGGCTGTGGCAGTCAGGCCGGAGCTCCGAGGGCGCAACTTGGAGCAGGAGATCCGAGCGGAGATGGAAGGAAACGACCGGTTTCTCCCCGACGCCGATTAGGCCGTTTCTTCGCGCATCGGCACGCGCGACGACGTCGTTTCCTCCTTAGGAAACGGTTTCTCTGATTTTCTTTCTCTCCCCCATAATAAATCTACTGCCACGTCGGTAATTTACTTAGATGATAAAATAATTAATTAAAATAGACTATTATCAATGCACTATTGAAACTGTCCTAGGTAATCAGCTCCCGTAGAATAGGCACAGAGGCAGTGTAATATCCGGCGTGTGACAGAGCCCACGTCGGTGGGAACTCCGGTTGCGGCGGGTCTCAGCTGTCAAAGGACTGGTCCGCGGCCGCGCGCGACATCCGTGGCCGTTGTTTCCATCTGGGTTCACACCGGCAGCGCGCTGCCTGCTGCCAGGTCAGCAGCCAAACCACCCACCACGCCATTGACCCACCGCCCCACACCCCAGGGCCCACGCCATCATGTCCGACTGTTATTCCAGGTTCCACTCCCAAACCCCTCCTCGATTCGTCCATCCCTCGCACGCGCTGGCCGCCCCCTCCCGGTCTCCCCTTCTCCGCTTCTCCTGAATCCTTCGCCCGAAAGCCTCTGATCCGATCTCCGACCCCAGAACCCTAGCGCTGCCCGTCCGCCCGCCTCCATGGAGCCGAAGCCTCACGCGCCGGCGTCAGGGCCGGCGACGCCGCGGTTCAAGCTGGGAAAGCAGTCGTCGCTGGCGCCCGAGCGCGGCGGCGGCGAGGGCGGTGGTGCGAGCTCGGCGGAGGGTTCGTCGGCCCAGGCGAACGGCGTCATGAGCTTCCAGCTCATGTACCTGGCCCACGAGGGCAGCGTGGAGGGGATCCGCGAGCTCCTCGACGGCGGCGCCGACCCCAATTTCCGCGACTCCGACGGCCGCACGGCGCTGCACATCGCCGCCTGCGAGGGACACGACGAGGTCGTCGAGCTGCTCCTCCAGAGCGGCGCGGAGGCCGCCGTCGAGGACCAGTGGGGCAGTACGGTGCGTCCTGCTTGTGTTTGTTGACAAAACTCCTTTTGCTTGCGTTTGATGAGGACCTTAAAATCCTTTTTCTTAGAGAGAAATCTGAAAATAAATTGGAATTTTTATGGGAAAGCAGCATCAGATTTCACGATTGGTACACTAAGTTAGTTAAGAGGATTTAGTACGCGGCAAACAGACAATGACAAAATTTTATAGGCTATGCTAGCAGCCTAGCACATGGAACATAGATTCAAGATAACATCATTTGTGCATATATGTCTTGTTGTGACTTGCTGCATTAGTTGAGCGTTGCTACTATCTGGCAGCCTTTGGCGGATGCAATGCATTATCAGAATCATGATGTGATCAAGATCTTTGAGAAGCATGGCTCCAAGCATAAGGTACTACAATGTACAAGTGTCGCCTCTGCCTGATGTTTTATTTTGTTCAGGTGTTCTGAATATTCACTTCTTTCTTGAAGATTGCTCCGATGCATGTGAACAATGTTCGTGAAGTTCCTGAATATGAGATTGACCCGGCTGAGCTTGATTTCAGTAATGGCAATGATTTATCCAAGGTCTGTATATATATTTCCCTTTCTTTTGCATGCGCCTTTTCAAATTGGTTGTCTCTAGCACTAATAAGCTTGCAATTGGTTAACCGACCATATGTTATTGAGTTATTGATTTTAGACTGTACTTTCTTTACCTAAAGTTTTAAAGCTATACTTCCACCATTAGATGTCGTTGGCAATAAATTTATTAGATAGCTATTGATTCAATCTGCTCTGCAGGGCACATTTAGAAAAGTAACATGGAGGGGCATTCCTGTTGCTGTTAAGAAGCTGGACGATGATCTAATTGTGGACGAGAGCAAAGTGTGGGTAGTTTGCATTGAATTATTCCATTTGTCTAAGGTCTATCTTGGCCTAATTTTACTAAATTTTACCTTTCTTCGAAAGCTATATTATCCTGATAGTTTGGATGTATTACAGGCAGGCGTTCAGAGACGAGCTTGATGTGCTGCAACTTATACGCCATCCAAATGTTGTGCAATTTTTGGGTGCTGTGACACAAAGCAATCCAATGATGATTGTTATGGAATTTATGCGCAAGGTTTGTCTTAAGGGAAATATGCTGTTTATAATCTGCATTGTTTTCTAAATGTTATTCGATTAGTGAGGGCAATATATGAGGCTATGTTTTTAGCAAACCTTTTAGGTGGAGATCCACGACTTTATATTATTCTAGTTGTCTACATGTGTAAAGTATTAAAATGTTTTTTTGCTAATATCTGATAATTATTTACCTTAATAAGTTTCTTAATGCGTTGCAGCTTATGTTTGGCCTATTTACAATGTGAAATCAGATTTTACTTTGTAATAGCATCTTCTTTTGTTTTGGCAATGTTTGACGGACAATAAATCAGAGCAAATTGCACTATCTACCTCATGCAACTTTGTGATGTTTTTTATATTAAGATAGCATATATGTTTCATGTTGACTTTGTCGTAACTTTTTATTCCACAGCAGGATATCCAAATTTCATCATTACCAAAAAGCAACGAAATTACAAAATATTGTGTTCAAGTAGCATGATGACTTCTTTTTAACTACCAGCAATATGATTTCAACACTGCACAACATCTAGATTTATTAACTCGGTGTCATAATTTGTGTAACTTGAAGTTCATGTGTATCAAAATGCAACTTCATGTTATGTCATGGGTTGTTGAGAATTACCAAAATGTTTATTTTCAGGGTGACTTGCGCACTCACTTGAATAAGAAAGGAGCTGTGCCACCATCATATGCAGTGAAGTTAGCTCTTGATATTGCAAGGTTTACCAGACATAACCTGGATGCTCTGAGATAAACTCTGTTAGCTATGTTTTGTTGTTATGAAGTAACTAAATCTAACTTGTGTTCCTTTGTGAATTGTAACAGAGGAATGAATTACTTGCATGAGCATAAACCTCAAGCTATCATCCATCGTGACCTTGAGCCTTCGTGAGTACTTTGTGGTTATATTTTTTTCAATGAAACTTGCTTGCATCTTCTTCTGTACACCCCCATGCAGTGCTTTAAATACCTGGTTTGTTAAAAGACTTTCTATGCCCATTGTGTAAGATAACAGTAACATATTGAGGGATGACACTGGACATCTGAAGGTGGCAGATTTTGATTTATGTAAGATGCTAAAATGGAGAAGAAAAGTTAAAGAAGATAAAGTGGTGACTTCTCCAGGCAATGCTTGTAAGTGGACTTTATTGTTTGTCATGCTAAATCTGTGCGATATTAGTCTTTGCCCTTCTTAACTTATTTTGCCTTACGTTTCAACTGCTAATTTTTAAAATGTCTCAGGCAGATATGTGGCTCCAGAAGTCCTGCGAAATGAAGAGTATGATACTAAAGTGGATGTCTTCTCATTCGCTTTGATACTTCAGGAGGTAAGTTGTGATATATTATAACTTTGTGCATCTCTGTCTCCACACAGTAGGTTGTATGGTGCATTTTTATGTTCTCTAAATATTTCTGTCAACATATGATATGGTATTGAGCACTGTTACGCAGTTTGCTGCTGGTATCTTTATTCAATTGACACTTGTTTCTTTTATAAACATAAGAACGACACTCATTTCAGCACCAATTACTTTGTTTCATTTCAGCACCAATTACTCCCTGTAAAATCACTCATGACCATTTCTGTGCTTGATATGGTCCCAAATCCCAACTATTGCAGATGATTGAAGGATGCCTTCCTTATTATGATAAGAAAAATGATGAAATTGGGAAGGTACACAATTCTAAAGAAAGGCCGCCTTTTCGAGCTCCTCCAAAGCATTATGCTCATGGGTTAAGAGAGTAAGCAGTCATTTGTTCCGCTTTGCTTATATAGTGTCAATTACTAATTCAATTAGAGCACTTGTGTGTCTTGCTATGCATTTCAAACTTTTAGCAAACAAGTTTCTGCTAGTCATGCTCAATTTAACTACTTGTATGTGTGAAATTTAACGTCTTCTATTTCCTCCATGTACCATTATTGTTGGTGCTTTTCCCTTTGTAAATTTCGTCGTGACCTTTTTGCCTGTCCACTTGACATTGACGCAGGTTGATTGAGCAGTGCTGGAGTGAAAATCCTGCAGACAGGCCTGATTTTAGAGTAATTATCAACCGGTTGTCTGCTATCCAAAATGAGATAGCCCACACAAACCGTTGGAAGGTAGCCATTAATGCTTTTTTCGTTATACTTTGAGTATTCTGTAATGGACTATGGCAGGAGATAATATTTGTATGTTCATTGTGCTGTATCTGAACAGGGGAGACCTCTCAAGTGTTTCCTGAGCATTGAAGGAATGTGGAAGAAAGATCGCAATGAGGGCAGCACCACCCGTTCATCACGCTCATCACGATGCTATTATTAACCACCAGCCCAAGCTACATTAGTAAAACGGGAAGAAACCTTGTATATATCATGTTTATAATAGTTCAGAAGATGGATAGAGACCATACATCCCGTTGCGAGTGGTACACAATACAATCACGAGAAGGCCAGAAGAGGAAAATAATAATAAAGAGGAAGGCGCTTTTAAGCTTTGCTCCTCTTCACGTGATCGACATGGACATCCATACAACACAACTAGAGCTGAGCGAGCGAGCGCAGATCCACGGGGTGGACGTCGGACGGCTGCGCCGCGCTGTACGCCCTCCGACCGACGAGGACGTTGGCCGCCTCCGTGGGGTGGAAGGCGTCCCAGAAGAGGTACTCGTTCCTGTTGGCGCACGGCGTCTGGAACGGCAGGCACGTCACCTGCCCGTTGTTCCGCCCGACGCCGCAGCACCCTCGGTTCGTCACCGTCAGACCATGCGACCCTGGGTCTCTCAGGATGTCCTCGAAGATCCCGTACACGTTGATGTAGGTGAAGTGCGCCCCCGGCAGCGCGTTGAACTGGTCGACGAGCGCGATGAGCGCGCGGTTGAAGATGTCGATGGCGCCGTTGATCTCCGGCACACAGGTGGCGCCGTCGGCGCTGTGCTGCGCCAGCTCGTTGGGGCTGCACCCGACCTGCCCCACGCTCATCAGCGCCACCTTCCTGGCCCCGTAGCTGTACAGCGTCCGGAGCTGCTGCGAGTACTGGCCGATGAGCACGTCGGCGTACTGCGCCGGCGTGTACTGCTGGCTGGTGGGGTAGACCGCCGGCATGAAGTAGTTGTTGAGGTAGTCATTGCTGCCCATCCCCACCGTGAAGATGCACTGGCTCAGGTGGTTGGCCGCCGAGTCCTCGTCGCCCAGGATGCTCACCAGCTGCTGCACCGCCGCCTGGTAGTTCTGCAGCTGCCCGCCGAAGCTGATCCGTTGCCCCTGCGCGCGGCCATGGTCCGTACGTGTGCGTCAGCAGGCTTCTTACTCATCTTTCAAGAGCTAGTAGGGATCACGTACTACGATGGAATGGAAACACATGCTTATATAGGGAGTACGTACCAGTTGCTGGCCGGTCTCGTCACGGATCCCGGCTGCGGCGGAGGCGAAGTTGACGCCGGTGAGGAGCTGATCGCCGCTCGCGCCGGCATACGCGGGGATGTAATCGTCGAAGCCCAGAAGCCGAGCTGAAAAACGACACACGAAGGGACGTGTCGCCATCATGGAACTAATTAATATTGGCATGACAATTGACAACGATATCATCTGAATGGACGTATTACTTCATTTTCAAAGCGTGCTAAAACCAGCGTTACGCAACAAAACTAAAGCCATGCACCTCGATACATACGAACGAACTTACGAAGCAAACAAGAAAGGGGGACAGAATACACAGTGAGAGCTTACATATAGCGTCGACGGTGGTGAGGCCGTTGCTGAAGCGCCCGGTGGGGCCGCCGGCGAAGTCGATGCCGTAGGGCGGGTAGTTGGCCCTTGCCAGCGACGCGATGTCGTTGTTGTTCCCGTTGTCCACGAGCGAGTCCCCGAACACGAAGTAGCACGGCACCTGGGGCTCGCCCCGCACCACCACGACGGCGACGGTGGCCAGCCGCGCGGCCACGACGAGGAGCAGCGCCGGCTGCAGCCACCGCATTGTCGCACGCCCCATTCCTTTATGTGGCTAGCTTTTTCCTGCGCCGCTGGAGTGCTGGTGCTGGCTAGCTAGCAAGCTAGCTAGATTGGTATGAGGCTCGGGACGCGACGGATCGTCGGTGATGACCGGCCGGCCGACACATTCGATCGAGGCTTACTTATAGATGCTAGTAGATAGGGCAGGCTGGTTGCTACAGTACTTGCTAGAAGCACCTAGCTAGCTAGATCAGCATGTGGTAGGCCCCTTTGCAGGACGGAGTGCGTGAAGGAGCGAACAGTTACCATGCTCAGCGCGTCCTCCATTTTGGCGACCTCTGCATGTGCGCGTGCATGGTGATGCATATATGGTTGGAGCAGTCACGGTTGGGGTTGGGGTTTTGCTGATTGATGACTACCACGCGGACGCGGCGACGGCGAGGCCCGTGTGACAGAATGGTGCAGAAGATCGAGCAAGAGCTGCCGGTCTGCGACGACCGTCGACTGGGGTTGGTTTACCATCTGGAGGTCAGAATGTCGATAGTGGTGTACTCCTCCAGTTCCAGTGAACGCAGAGGTGGTACCGCCAAATATACCACGAGTCCAAGAAGAAGCATGTGATTGCTGAATGGCCGGCCTTTTGTACACGGGTCATCCGTACTGTTACTGCCTTGCGAGTACTCTCCTGCGGCAGTAGATGACGACAATGGTGAACAGAATGCCCAATGAGGAACAGCAGGATCGACGTTGCTCCAATGGATGCGTGCGGTTAAATACCTTCTGGGCAGAATCCTGAATGCAAGGTGCCTTGTGGACAAGCCTATTTATATGCACGAAATATATATGATAGCGTTATAGTACTGCTGCACCATGGGAGTTAAAATAAATCAGTACATGTGCAGCAACACTTGCACATATGACGACTCTGGTTCTACCTGTAGCAAATGATGCATGCCAAAATGATTTAACCGGGATATGTATATGCACTGTACAGGTATTGAATTACTCATCAGAGCGAGGTTCACCGCCCGGGCGCGTGCTCCTGGGTCTTGGAAACGGAGATGGGATCACGGGAAAAGGCAGCAGGTACGCGGCGTCCGAACCAGCCCCGGAGGAGACACTCCACATGCAAGCATCGGAAACATCTTGTCACCGCCGGCTCGCCGACGGGCCCTGCACACCCTTGGTACGCGGATTTGACTCGCGCTTTTGTTTTACGAGATTTATTGCACCGTCTTGGTAGAGATCACTTGACCTTTTCGTCGACCGGCACTACCTGCAACTCGGCTCGGCAAGCCCCGCACGGCCGCACCGCTGAGCCGCCCCCCCACCCACACACACATACACACACACACAAAGCACGGTAGATTTATTTAATACCTATTTAATATTTAAATTTATAGCAAAAAAAACTAATTTTCACTTATTTTTATTAAAATATTATGACTTTGATTATAAATAATGTAAATTTTTTAAAAAAAGTTGTTCAAACATATAATTATGTATATTTTATTATATAAAAAATACGATCGTATTTATCCGATCCCCCGGCTCAAAATCGCTGGTTCTGCCAACGGCACCGGTGGAAGCGTTAGCGATGCGTACATTTCACATGACATGCAGGTGGCCACTTTCTACGTCTCCTTCAGCTTCGATTTGCCCATTGATGTGCGGGGAGGCGTTCACAGTTTGATGGTGCGAGGAGCGTAAATGCGCGCGCGCGCAGCGCCTTCCTGTTCCAGGCGGCGCGCATGGAAAGCTTCCGCGCGATCCACATGCCAACCGATCAGATCGAGCGGCTGGCGATAGCGTTGTGGCATTCAATGCGGTGATGTCGTGGACACGATCAACGAACCGGCGTGGGTCGTTGGCTGGCTCGCAGCGAAGACCTACTTCGAGCTGATCTGTCCGGCCCGTAGGGCAAACGATGTGAACGAATAATGATGGAAGGTGGCGCGCGGTAAAAGATTTTGCCTCGTGTGCGTGGTAGGGGATTCGGATCATTTCTGGCTCCCGTTGGCAGTCGACGGGCAGAAAAAAATGCACGGCGACGGGCTCTCGTATCTCTTTTCTTACACGGTTATACCCGTGTCTTTGCATAGTAACAAGTCACAAGCCGGGAGGTGTTTTGTCTTTTTTCTTTTTATTTATTTCGGTTGAACATTTGAAAAATCATAGTAAATCACAGAAAAATCAGAAAATAAAAAATTCAATTGTTGGACTCCATATGAGTAGATCAACACAGTGAACATATAATATGGTATGCTTTAGTACAAATTTTTTGTTGTACCTTTAGATCTATGTTTTTCTATAATTAATTCATAGCTGCAGTTTCTATGGTCCAATTATGCTAAAATTTTTATTGTGCGCTAATTATGGTATGCTTGAACTATAGTAAAAATTTCATACACATTGATCATGTATAACTTAGTTTTAGATTTAATGATTGATGATGAAATTAAGTATATATGTACGATATGTTGACGGTTTTATGATTGATGTTAACTGTAACATCCTGCCTAAATGGACCGAGTTGGGCCGAATCGAATAGTGCTGGGCCAAGGTACTACAGCTGGGGGGGGGGCACTGCAGACGCGAGCACTGTAGCATCGAGTTGGGCCGGCACACAATCGGAGCTACTGTAGCTCAGGCACTGTACACGTGCCTGCTGTAGCATTGTGGAGCACTGTTCCCCCGAGGTTTAGTACCCTACTGGAAACTGGGGGACGACCAGACCGACTTAAATAGCCAGATCAAAAACGCGTAGCAACCTTCGGTTAACCGTTTTGCGTGAAACGAGAACGAAAGCACAAGCGAGTTGCTACGTAGGTGGGGCCCACCCCTCGGTAGAGTGGGCCTGGGCCGTGTGCCAAGCCTGGAGCGTTACATTTGGTATCAGAGCTGACTCTTGCGGTTTCATGGATACGTGGCGGGTCAGATGCGAGGGCATGCGCGTGGGCCCAGCGAGGACACGGCATGGCACATGCGTCGGCACTGGACGCATGGATGTGGCTAAGAGAGGGTATCCTGGTCGGTGTCCCGGATAGGGTAAGCCAGTCTGGTATTCGACGGGGACGTCGAATCCTAAGGGGGGTGATTTGTAACGTCCCTGCCTAAATGTGCCGAGTTGGGCCAAATAAAATAGCGCTGGGCCACGGGGGGGCCTGTATTGGGGGTACTGTAGCGACAAGTTGGGCCGATCACGGGAGTTACTGTAGCTCAGATAATGTACACGTGGGCTGCTGTAACATCGCGGAGCACTGTTTACTCAAGGTTTAGTGCTGTACTGGAAACTAAGGGACGGCCAGACCGACTTAAATAGCCAAGCCAAGGACTTATAGTAACCTTCGGTTAACAGTTTTGCGTGAAGCGAGG